AACTCTGCTTACGGCAAGTTCAGGAAGCTATTTCCAGAGTGAAAGGATGGCCCAGGCCTGGGGCTGCAGCGTCTCAGCCTCAGAGGGAAGCAGGCACCCTGGGGGGCCTCCCTTCTCTGCCCTGTCAGCCTTGGCTCAGGGGTCGGTGTGGATGGGGCTCTGAGCAGTTACAGTCGACTGTCGCGCTGTCTGGAGGCTGATTTCCCTCCCAGGATGACTGAGCCACCAGGAAGCTTTGCTGTGTTTGCGAAGCAGCCTTCTGTTGCACCAGCCCCCTGCAGAGGCCCCGCGAAACGTGGCCGTGAGGGAGGTGGTGCAGGTTCCCTGACCCCTGTGCCCACCGTTCGCAGCTGCCAGGCCTTGCACTTCCCCACGGCAGCGAGCGGCAGGGGTGTGGTTAAGGTTCCCAGCCACCCCGCGGAGGAGACAGGAGGAACCCCTCGTCACGGGGCCTGGCAGACAGAGCCCGCCACACACACGCCCACACCCACGTCGGTCGTCTTTTACCCGAAGCACAGACACGTCAGGCATCTTCTTGACAAGCAGGAAGCTGCGTCGCGGAGCCAACCCCACAGAGACGGGAGGCAGGGCGCCCCCCGTGCCCCCGATGCTGACTTAGCAAAGAGCCCCCGGGCCCCCAGACACCCCTGGCATGCAGACAGGCCGGGGGTCCTTCAGCTTTTAAAGAGGCTCACACCTCGGGGCGAGGGGAGGGCGTACAGCTGCACGCCTCTAAAGGGAAAGCCAGTGAGAGGGGATCCCTTCCCTTTGGGCTCCAGGAAAAGCTTTGTCTTTTTCCTTCCATTTCTGTTCGTCATTATGGGGTGTTCCCTGCGTTGTCCCAGAGTTTCAGCGTAACTGGAAGTAAATCTCTACCCGTCTTCTGAGCATGCGAATCCGTGGTGTGTGTGTGACCTTTCCTCGTTTTCTGAGACTCGGTTACACACACGGCCCTGCAGGCCCCTCCCTCGATGGATCCCAGACCTCCCGCCTGGCTTCTGTGACTGCTGTCCTGTGGGACTTTGGCCTGGGAGCGGGTAGCAGACAGAGTGGTGTCTACAGCAACGTCCACGTCCGGATCCCCAGGACGTGAGCGTGCGACCTTATGTGACCAGGGGACCGCGGAGCGTCCCCGTCCCGCAGGGAGCCCACCTCGTCACACGGGGCCTCTAAGCAGGAGGCAGAAGTCAGGTCGGGGCTGGTGTGAGGGCAGCACCAGAGGCTGGAGTCAGGAAACGGCTTTGCTGAGATGCTGGCTGTGAAGATGGAGGAAGAGGCCGTGAAGCCAGGAATTCCGGGGCTCAAGGGCTGGGGAAGGGAGGAAACGGGCCTCCCTGGAGCCTCTGGGATGAGCAGCCCTGCCCATCCTGACCGGTCACCCGGGGACGATATCGGACTCTTACCTGCAGAACAGAGAACTCATCTGTGCTGTTGGAAGCCGCCTGGGCACCATCTGCAGAGCCGCCACCTACGAGGGGACCCCCACCCCCATGGGGTCCTGGGGTGCAGGACAGGACAAGAGCCCCCATGAACCCACATGTGTAGGACGGCCTCCCCGTTCTGCCCGGGAGGAGTAGGCTCCAGCAATCGCGAAACCAGGGGTGGGTCCCACAGCCCACCGGTGCTGTGTGTGGTTGGGAGGGGTGGGAGCTGGCCAGGGCAAGGGGCCAGTCAGCCAGGGCCTCACAGCACCCGCTCCACTGGCCTGTCCCCTACATTCGGCTCAGCCCCTGGGGAGCTCGCTCCTGGGGGATCTCCGAGCCAGAGGGGGCTCTGCAGAGACCCTGGTGGGCGGGGAGCATCCTGCCTGGGCCAAGCCCCCAGGCTCCCAGGTGCCCAGTCGTCTGCCAGGCTGTGTCCACCCTGGGTGTGCCCATGTGTCCCCAGGGACCCCCTCAGCACCCTCATGGTCAGGGTTCCCGTGTGCTTGGCCGCCCACTTCCTCCCAGGTCCAGCCTACAGTCTCAAGTCAGGTCCACCCCCTCAATTCCTCCGTCTGCCAGGCACAAGGAAGGACTGTGGGGGTCAGTTCTGGCCCCTGGTCGCCGTCTCTCTTCCTGGTGCCCCTCCACTCCCAGAAGCCCCGCCCCAAGGACTTAAGGGAGCAGAACTCAGCCCAGGGCTGCCTCAGGCCCAGGTGAGCCGACCACAGAGCCAGACACCCACTGTGGGAGCTTAGGAAGTAGACCCCAACGAGGAGGACAAAGCAAGGGTCTCACGGGGCCTGGGATGGAGGGCCGGGGTCTCACACGGGAGAGGCCCTCAGGGGTCCAAGGAGAGGGCTGGGGGTCTCAGGGAGGAGGCAGGGGTCTCAAGGGCCCCAGGAGAGGGTTCAGGCTTGCCTAGGGTGAGAACAGGAACACGACCACCCCCACCCCGTGCCCAGACTCTCCTAAGACCCTCCTTCCACTGCCAGCGTCCCCTCCCGGTGGGGGTCCACTGCCTGGAGGCGCCCAGGGCTGCGAGAACAGGACGGTCAGGGGGCTGTCGTCACAAGAAGGGGTTCTGGGCGGGGCAGCCCCCAGCAGTGCCCCCACTGCATCCGATGTGGGAGGCAGAAAGGTGGCTTTGAGAGCCAGCATCCTCCATCGCGCGGGCCAGTGGGTTATTCACTTAGTCAGCAGCTGTATTCAGGGCGACACACCACACTGGCTGTGAACAGTGAACGCGGGGCCAGCTCTGCTTCCTGGGCCGGCAGCCCCAGCGCACAGCCTCGAGGCCGCCCCGCCAGGAACATCCTCCTGTGGGAACCCATCCCTCAGTACCGAAGTCTCGAAGACTCGTCTTGAAAACGAGTACAGAGTCTTCACTTAACATCCCCACGGAGGAGCTGAAGTTGTCACCAGACGCACACCTTGATTCAGTGCTTGAATTTATAAAGCAAAAGTAAACGGGAAGGAGGCGCGAGGCGCTGTTATAGGAACCTCACCGTGACCTGAGAAAAGCACGTCCTCAACGTAGCATTTCTGAGGACCCTTCTGAGTATCAGCACAAGAGCCGCCCACACCTCCTGGCCGTCTGCATGTAACCAACATCCACAAACACGGCTGACTTTAATGGCTTTTAATCTTTCCCCAGAGAAAAACGACCCACGTTGAACCGTTCCTGACACAAACGCTAGGCGATCGCGGTCGGATCCAGCGGGTCACTGAGTCGTTCTCGTTATTAAACGTGCAGCCTCACCTCCACTCGACCTCCCGCATGAGCTCCTCGGGGCCGAGCGGCCAGTTCGAGGCCGAGGCAGCCCGGGGGCCGGCCCGTGAGTTTCTCTTTCTGGATCTCGGGTGCCTCCGTTCAGTGAGGACCACCGAGCACCCAAAGCAGCAGCAGATTTTCTTGTGGAAAATGACGCATCTGACCCCCAGGGATCGCGTGCCGACAGGGGTGAAGTGGCATCGTCACGACGCCCTAAGAACCCAACCCCGAAGCCCCCGGGTTATGGGACGGGGTTTCAGATCAGAGCCCCGGAGGACTCCCCGGTGCCGTCTTAAGACAGACGTGACCCTAACAGCACAGTTGGGTCGGTCCTTCGGCCGAGACGTATTTTGCTGACCTCGGAGTTCATGAAACTCCTGGCCATCAGGAAGCGGAGCAAAGGCCTCGTGGATGATAGCCAGCCTCCGTCGGGACCAGGGGACAGGGGATGTCGAGTCCCCACAGGGTCTAACTTACGGAGGCTTCTGAGCCGACCAGCAGAGGCCGAACGCTGCAGGGCCGGTGTGTTCCAGCACCGGGAGAGGGGATGCCATGCAGGGACTGGGGGCCCCCGGGGGTCAGGAGGCAGAATGCAGAGCCCACAGAGTGTCCGCAGGCACAGCAGGGCAGACGGGATGGCACTGGTTAGTCTGATGGGCTCCCGGGGCCCGGGGCTGCAGGCGTGGCCTCTGGTCCCTGGGCCCAGCCCTGGGTGCTGGGAGGGGGAAGCTGTCCTGCCTGTGAGACTTGGACAGAGGGTGGCCAGCTCCCACGGGGCAAGTAAGTTGTTTTGTCCTCGGGGGTCAGCGAGCCCTCCAGGGACAGCCTCCTCTATACCCCCGCTCCAGGTCTGCAAGGCCCCAAATGTCAGAGCGTCAAGAACACAGAACATAAAAAAACAGTTAACATGATGAACAGACGCCAGATAGTCAGAAAAGGCAAAGAACAAGGCCAGTCTGGAAACTGACAAACCTTCCCCGGGGCCCTGGGAGGACAGGAGGAGTTCCAGGTGTGCAGAGACCCAGGGGTGCAGGGACCCAGGTGTGCAGAGACCCAGGGGTGCAGGGACCCAGGTGTGCAGAGACCCAGGGGTGCAGGGACCCAGGGGTGCAAACAGGCCAAGTGCTCAGGACAAGTCGGCTTAAGAGCAGCGCCTGAGGGAGCAGGGCAGCGCACACCTGGGCTGGAGTGCTGGGTGGACAAGGGAGGTGCGGGCAGCTGAGAGCAGATGTGGGCACATACAAGGGACTGTCATAAGGACGACGAGGTTGCAAGGCAGCACCAGCACCAGCGTGGACATCGCAGCGTTTCACCTGTGTCCTGACACCAGCATCACTCTGCTTATACCTGTGTCCTGACACCTGAGTCCTCACACTTGCATGAAGAAAACATTACAACCGGGCTCTGGGGATGGGAGGAGGCCTGTGCTGAACACGGTTCATGTTCATCTTTGTAGCAAAACTCCAAACAGCCCCTTACAGCCACTCCTCCGACAGCTGGGAAAACCACAGTAAACAGTGACTCCCGAAGGAGCCCGTGGGCCTGGGGAAAGGGGACAGGCGTGACTTCACTGGTTAGAAGCGGGTTATCCGTCGCTACCTGATCAGACGGTCTTCTCAGTAGGACCCCAGCCGGCTCAGTGCCGTCCCACAGTGCCCTGAGGGCTCCACGGCCCCGAGCTGGGGGTGTCATGTGCTGCTCTAGCCCCCGGGGCGGGGCCGCCCCTGGGCTCCGCCCCCCCGCCCCCCGCAGCACAGCCGGGCGGAGCCTACAGACCCCACGACCCAGGTAATTCCCTCTGAGGATGCGATCGTGCAATCACCTTTAATCTCCACCTGACGTGCTGACTGCACCCCAGAGACACCGAGACAGAGGGCCGGGAGGCACCGAGGGCCCCGCCCGCCTGGCGGGACCCGCTCTCCTCACCCAAGTGCGGGGGAACGCCGGGGCCGACCGCCTGGGGTGGAGGAGCAGCCGTGGCAGCTCCGCGTGCTGAGCTCGAACAGGTCGCACCGTCAGCCCTGAAGCAGCTTCTGGTTGAGTCTAATGATGTCGCTGACGAGCGAGTCCGCCCCGATGAAGTCGCCGGTGATGATGTTTGTGCACCGTGCACCCGGCCCCGGGCACTGCTCCCGCACCCACGCGCCCAGGTACGGCAGGCTGGGGAGCGTCAGCTTCCGCAAGGACGCGGTCGGGTGCGCGAGGATGTACTCCAGGTTCTCCGTCAGGTTGATGCCGGCCACGAACAGCCCGCCTGCAACATGGAGGTCAGAGGGCGCGGTGCCCAGGAGTAGGGAGGTCAGAGGGCGCGGTGCCCACGAGTAGGGAGGTCAGAGGGCGCGGTGCCACGAGTCCCGGCTGCGCCCGTCAGCCCACCCTCGTGTGCCGTCTTTGTCGTCTTCAGACTCTCAGATCTCGGACAGAGACTGAGTTCTCACGGCAGGGCTCACGGGCTGTCAGTTCACTGCCTTTCTCCTGTTACACAGGGTGGTGGACAGAATACTGTCCCCAGAAACATCCACGTCCTGATCCCCGTGTGGCACACAGACCACTGTCCCCAGTTTCAAATCCTAACCCCCGGAACCTGTGAACGTGTGAGCTGACGTGGCGGGACAGAGCTTGCAGGCATGACTAATCTGAGGCTCGTGAGCTGGCGAGGAACCTGGATTATCTGGGGCCCTGCACGTCATCCCAGGGCCGCGACAGGGCCAGGCAGTGGGAGGCGGAAGACAGAGCAGGAAGAGGGGAGACGAGGGTGGAGTCAGGGAGGGAAGAGGGTGTGACCTGGGCTCAGCAGTCCGGGGTGCAAGGCCTCTTGGAGCCGGAAAGGCCGGAAGCAGAGTCCCCTGGAGCTAAGAAGGACCAGCCCTGCCCACACTGACGCGGCCCTGGGACACGTGGGCCGGAGCCAGGACTCGTCTGCTCAGTCCTCGCGGTTTGTGGGCTCTGTCACAGCAGCTAAAGGAGACCCCCACGTACGGAGTCTGCACCCCCTAGCTTCCAAGGGGGCCCCTGGGGCTTGGAAGTGCAGACGCTCGGCCGTGGCCCAGGAGTCGGTGTGTCGGGGAGGGCCGGGCCCAGTGAAGGTGTGGGCGCCCCTGTGGCCTGGCGCTCCGCACCGCGGGCAGGTCGGGCGCAGGGGCCATCCTGCTGCCGCAGACTCTTGACTCCACCCTCTGTCCAAGCTCCTCAGCCAGAGCCGGGAGGAGGGAGGCCCCGCCTCACCCAGCCGCCCTGGGCTGCCTCCGAGCTGGCCCTGCTCCCTAACGACACGTGGCTCAGCTCGTGGGGCTGCAGAAAGGCCGCCGTGTGGGAGGTCAGGGCCTCGCAAAGGTCAGAACCAGGCAGGCCCCGGGTGCGGTTTTCAAAAATGGCAGTAACATTCACACGGCCTTTTTACAGCTCGTGGTTTTAGCACATTCACGACGCTGTGCAGCCACCACCTCTGTCTGCTTCCAGAACCTTCTCACCCCCCAGAGGAGACCCCGTCCCCGTGAGCAGTCACCCCCAGCCCCCGGCCCCTGGCACCACGAACCCACTTTCCGCCTGTGGGTTCGCCTGTCCTGGGCGTTTCCTGTACGTGGAATCACACACCGCGTGTCCCCCTGTGTCCGACCTACTGGACCTTGTTTTTAAGGTCCATCCACGTGCGCACGTGCTAAGCTCACTCCTTTCCACAAACAGCACTGCACTGTGTGGACAGACCACGTCTGTCTGTCCATTCATCCAACCACGGGCATTCACCCTGGACGCTTCCCGAACATCCTGGCACCACCAGGCCTGGGACCCGGCTGATTTCAAGGTCCAGCCACGGGGGCGCCAGGCCCCCCACACCCCAGATCCCACCACTTGGCTGTTCTCAACAACAGGGCCCCAGAGCTGCACCCCCAAAGCCGGGATTTCTTCTGGGGAAACAGCAGGAGACAAACAGGGAACCCAGAGGTCAGTGTCCAGAGGTCAGTGTCCAGGCTGCAAACAGCTGCTGTTTTAGTGGAAACGGGTCAGAGGGAGCCTGGGCAGAAGCAGGCCCCAGACACCAGCAGACGTGTCTGCGGGGACACCGTGGGGTCATTTGAGTAAAACCGTCATCGATCACGTTGGCGCAGCGAAAACCGCCACCTCCTCGCTACACATGGTACCATGCAGAACGGGCCAGGAGTCAATCAGCAGCAGGACCCAGGACAGGACACTGGGCAGTGGGCCCTGGGACCCCAGGCGTCCCCCAGCAGCCCTGCCCTTGGCCGTAGGTGCAAACACCTGCACCGTGAACCACGGGCGACACAAGTTCCCCGTCATCAAACCAACGGTGCAGCAACGCAGAAACACCGCTGACCCTCCGAGCAGCCAGAAAAGGGCTGCTTTCCTTAAAGGAACCAACAACCCACGAAGATGAAGCAGGGGACCCCGCCGGAGACACCCGCAGCCAGAACACACTCACTGTGGGGGGGATGCGATCCCCTCGCTCCCGGCCCCTCCCCAGAGCAGGAGGCCAGCACCCGGTGCACAGCTCGGCCACAGGCACCCCGAACTGAGGGAGCAAAAATGTGACAGAGAGACAGGGTGAGGGAGACAGAGACAGAGAGAGACAGACAGGAGGGAGATACAGAGACACAGAGACAGAGAGACGCAGAGGGAGGGGCAGAGACGGAGGCACAAACGGAAGGAGCGACAGAGATGCAGAGGCAGAGACAGGGAGGAGGTGGAGCTGCCGGGCATATGGTTGAGTGTCTCCCTCCCCTGGTCCATCTGCCGTCAGAGTCGCGGGGCCACTCAAGATCTGCCATGAAAACAGGCTAACGAGTGTACACCCTTAGCAGCGCCCATGACAGAAACGCCAGGCACTCCTGTCCCTGAGGCCTATGTGCAGGGAGACATAGACCATATGACCGAGTGAAAGCCACGTGCACGTGGACACGGTCAGTCCTGCTGGACGGCACAGCCTCACCTGCAGAGCAGACAGGGGCGGTGGACCTCCCTGGGTTTGCTCTGTTTACACAGCCATGTCAGTGCTGTGTGTGTGTGTGTGTGTGCGTGCATGCAAGGGTGCGGGTGCACACATAGAACCTCATATAGATTTGGGGGGTGTATGTGTGTGCACTGACTGGTATGCATGGGTGTGTGTGCATAGACACACATGTACACATGCAAGTCTGTACGTGTTTGTACACAAATAGTCCACATGGGACATACACATGTGTACATGTGTGTGTGTGCACACGGGCCTGTATGCTTGTGTATGTGTACACAGATGCATGCCCACATATGTTGGCGTGTGTCCATTACACAGGCACGTGCATGGCTATGTGTGGGTGTGCACGCATTACACGTATGTATGTGTACAGACACGCACACGTGCACACACCTGTGCATGTACATGTACACACACAGCATATTTCTTTCACGTGGGCCCCAAAGCAAACTGTGCACCTGGCAGCACGTGGCACCTCCGCGCAGAAGGCATCACGCACCTGGGCGGCCGCAGCTCTTCATGTGCTCCAGGTAGCGGATGAGGTCCTGGGGCTTCACCTGGTTCCCCCACCAGTAAGGGATCCCGGGCCACAGTTCCACGTGCCGGCTCACGGACGTCTCGTCCTCGTAGGACAGCAGGACCTGCTGGCCCCGCGACCACAGCTGGCGCAGCGTGGGCACCTCCTGGAGGGATGGATCACCAGGGCGCCCGTGAGACGTAGCGCAGTGGGTTCTGTGAGAGGACAGTGGTGGGTGGAGATACTGGGGTGTCTGTGAGGAGATGGTGGTGGGTGAGTACTGGGGATATGTCTTTGAAGAGGTGAGGAAGGTAAAATGAGGTCCCTAGGGTGGGTCCTGATCCTATAGCACTGGGGTCCTTGTAAGAAGAGGAGATGAGGACCCAGACACATGCAGAGGGACGCCCACGTGAGGACACAGGGTGGAGTTGGCCGTCTGCACACCAAGGGGAGAGGGCTCAGGAGACACCAGCCCTGCTCACACCTGGTCTCGGACACCAGCCTCCAGGACTGGGAGACATGAAGGTCTGCTGTTCTGAGGCTCCGATTGTGAGCAACAGCCCCAGGACAGACCAGAGGACACTCAGCACGGACACGGGGAATGAAAACACTGCAGACTTCTGCACAAGCACCGCGTGACCCCTGGTCCAGAGAAGCAGCTGCACCCATGATGTCACCTGGGACGCCGTCCCAGCACAGGCACCGCACTGGGCCACACTGTGCACCTGAGCACAGCGGTCTCCTCACTGGGCGTCCAGAGGACCCTGGTAGCGGCCCCATTGGCACCAGAATGATGTCCGCATGATGCAGGGCGGGGCCAAGTGAGCGGGTGGAGCCTGTGATTAGAACCCAGCCCGCCCTCCCCATCGTCCCCGCCGCCCCCGCCATGGAGAGGTGTGGGGAGGCCGTGACCCTTCTCACCCCTCGGGGACACAGCATGTCCCCAAAGATGTTCTTGATGCAGGTGACCAGATACTCGTGCAGGTCCTCCGTCATCCCCTCGAAGTTCCTGCACGCCAGGAGGACCACCTCCCGCGGGTGCTTCTCCAGCCACTCGGAGATCTCCGTGAGCGTGTCCTGGGCGGGGCGGAGGGGCGGTCGTGAGAGGGGAGTGGGGGCTTCCCTGGGGAAGGCTACCTCGTGAGGGGTGAGAAGGGGCTTCCCCAGGCAATCCCCTCCTCCCCGGGTCCTGGACACACAGACATGAAGCAGGGCAGCTGCCCTCGAGGGAGGCAGCCTCACCCAGGTGACAGCCGGGCCAGCTTGTCCTTGCTCTGGGGGAGACGTGTGTGTGTGCATGCGTGTGCCCTTGTGTGCGTGCCTGCAGGTGCACGTGTATGTGCACGTACGTCGGTGCCTGCATGTGCACAGATATGCACGTGAGTGCGCACACTCCAGAGGACACCGCTTGTGTAAATGTGTGAGGTCCGGAAGCTGTGGGGAGCGTGAGAGGGCCAGCAGGTGATGTGCAGAGTGACGTCCCAGGGACACGGCCTCCAGATCCCTGGGGGCCTGCAGGGGTTCACGGGGGACTGAGGGGTGGAGCAGGAGGTGACTTATCCAGCAGCCAAGAGGATGGATTGAAAACCCCCAAACTGGACGCAGGAAGATGTATCCCACTTAGCAAGACGCCAGGAGGCAAGGCAGAGGCCAGGGCACCAGTGCAAACACAGAAGCACATGCTGGTCAGGAATTCCAGCTGACTGGCTGCCGGAAGCCAGCCCTCTCCCATCCGGGGTGGACGTGTGTCCGTCCCCTTAGAGGCCAGCCTCTTCCCACCTGGGGTGGACATGGTCGTCCCCTTAAAGTCCTCCGGCTCCTGCCTAGAGTGGACACGGGTGTCCCTGGCTGGTGGGGCCTCTGCACCCCACCCCCCGTACCTCCACCAGCGCGGTCGTGTACACCATGTGGACGAAGTGCAGGTTCCTCTCGGAGCCCTCCTCCATGTGCGCGACCCGCAGGTCCAGGTACCGCACCCCAGCGTCCAGCTGCTCCGTGACGGTCAGCACCTGCGGACAGAGGTCGGTCATCTCTGCTGGGGACAGAGAGCGGCTTCCACCTTACCGCTGCCCTCTGGGGCTGGGAAGGTGCTGGGGGAGGCCGTCTGATGGCCGTGCTGTCCAGAGTCAGAGCAATAGCTGTGGTGCTGCCGGGGCTCAGGCAGCCACTCGGGGGGACCCTGCATCCGGAACCCTCTCCCGGGGACGCTGGCCCTGTGGAGCCACAGACTGCGCCTGGTGAGGCCCCGTCCTCCAGGAAATGCCTGGGGCCCTGACGTAGGTCTCAGGACGTCCGTGCAGGGTCCCACCTCACCCTTTTCCCAGCCAGTCACTGGGCAGAACCCCTCTGGGTTCAGCAGCCCCAGGCCAGGCTCCAGGACCCCCCACCTGGACCCTCGGACATCCGGCCACACAGGGACAGGCACTGGAGGGGAGGTCCCCACCCCACACACAGCACTAGGAGAGGCAAGGAGCCCAGAGAGGGGGCAAAGAGAAGGAAAGGCGCCCCCTCCTCACACAGCGAGAGGACAAGGCAACAGCAACACTAACATGAAGCGGAGAAGACGGTGCTGCGTCCTCGACACGGAGCAGTAACGGAAAAACGGAAAAGACAGGAAACGGAAGGGAAACGGTACCCCCTCTGCCCAAAATAACGGGCAGAGCAGCGTTGACCTGAAGAGTAAAAGAGGTGGCACCGAGTGCTCTGCACACAGGACGAGGAGGAAGAAAGCAAGAATCTAAGTGAGCGCAGTCTCACACCCCGGGTGTCCCTGCAGGGAGCTCGGTTCCCTCTTGCTCGACCCCTGTTGGCAGATGAGGAAACCTTGGCCCGGGAGGGTACGAAGAGGCCTGCTCTGGGCGCGGCGGGGCCCTGCGCTCCACCCTGCGCTGCAGCCGCGCAGAGCGGCCGGAGGGGCCTCGGCACAGGCCTGTTACACGGCTGCCTCTCCTGTGGTTAGGGTTCTGGGTGGAGGGGCTGCGGAAAGCGACTTTCCCCTCTGAAATGCCCTCCAGGTATTTAGAGTCTACGCTTTCCGGCTGAGAAATGGGCACTCATTCTTCCAGTGTTCAGAGAAGTCTAACGGGGACAATGGAATTCGCACGGGAGTGACCCTGCCGCCCAGGCCTGTGCTGAGATCTGGACCCTGCAGAGGACCCTCCCTCGGGCTGGGGTGCACGCCCCCCCCCAGGTGTTCCTGTTAGAAGTAAGCGACCATCCCCGCCACCCCCCACACACTGTCCTGTCTTCCTGTGAACATTACATGTTCAGCCCCTTCTGATGACTCCGGATATTCCGGATCCAAAGACCTTCCGGTCAGCTGTGTGGATGGCACTGCTGCCCTGTGGCCGGATCCTTCCCCACAGGCCTCTGTGGTTCTCTCTCTGCCAGGTCCCTGAAGGCTTCCAGCCTTTCCTGCAGTGCCACCCACCCCCAGCACCTCCCCCCCGGAGCTCCCCATCACCCAAGCACGGCAGGACCCCATCCCCGTGGGACCCCAGCACTGCGGGACTCCTGTGCTCCAGACGACCTGCTGCCCCTCCTGGGGGTCTGGGCTGCCCGTGCGAGGCTCCAGCTGCAGGTGCCTGACGCAAGTCAGGAATGTTGCTTCCCAACATTCCAGACCTCCCTCTCTGCCCCCGCACATCCCCAGTGGGATTTCGGCAGCCCTGGGTGTGACTGAAACTCCCAGAAGGAAGCAATTACAAAGGAGAGCTGGGGGTTGGGAGCCAGTCAACCGCTGGGAGGACTAGCCTCTGGGGGCAGAAAGGCAGGAACATGGAGGCCCCAGCGCAGGCAGAGGGGGCTGGGGGTCGGCGGCCCCCGGGGTGCGCTGGTGTCCCCGCCAGCACCCGCGCCCCGCGTGCTCCCTCCCCCAGCCCGGGGTTCTGGCTAACGTGTGTGCAGGATGAGGGACCACAGGCAGCTCTGGGCCCCTAGGTGACTCTGGGAGGCCCTTTCCTCTCCACGCCCCCTCCCAGCTGCTCTCCCGTCCCTAAACCCCCCGTCCCTGCCTCCCTGCCGTCAACACGGGGGAAGGGCTGCCAGAGGAGGATGTGAGGCAAACAGACAGAAAAGGAGAAGTCCATGCTCCTGCCGAGTCAGGGCAGACCCAGCTTCCCTCACTCCCGTCCCTGCGGAGTTTCCAGGAGAAAACATGTAAGTGTAGGTATTTGGCCACTTTTTCAGATGCACATACACCTTTCCAAGGAGACCTCTGGCCAGCCCGGCACCTTGGCACGTTTTCTCCAGGCCTGGGTGTGTGTCTGAGACACGTGGGGAAGAAAACGCCCACCTCCCTGCTCCAGATGCAGACCGGCACCTCCCTCAGTGGTTGTCACGTGGACATGGTCAGGCGGGGGTTCTCGTCTCCGCTGCACAAAGGGAGCAGATCTTTCAGCGTCTCTTCAGCGTCTCTTCAGCTGACATGCGCCCCGTCCTGGCTTTGCGGTGCTCCCAGTAACACCTTGTTCTCCCCTATCTGTTTGGGAGGCTTTCTGGCTCTGAGGGGGTTTGTCTTCAATCCTATTTCCCCAACAGGGATGAGGACGCTGTCCCCCAACTCCCGGGACCCCTACCTGGCTGATGGACACTTCAGCACCACAGAGAGGGAGCCCCCCCCCGACACCCAAGACCCCTACCTGGGTGATGGACCACTTCAGCACCACGGGGAGAGTGACACATGGCAGGGTCTTGCCCAGAAACTGCAGCAGCCGTGACTCATTGTGGGAAATGGGGGACTTCTTGTCCAGGCAGTATGTCATGGTGTCGTGGCTCCCTGGAGGAAAACCCGAGGGACATGTCACCCATTAGCCTCTTCCTCCTGCTCTGTGCCCAGAGCTGCACACGGGAGACAAGCGCACAGCACCGGCAGGCAGTGGTGGCCCCGAAACTCACGCCCACGTGGGCTGGGGACCATGATCTTAACTGGACATAGGGTGTCTGCAGATGTGATAAAGTGAAGGACCTGAGAGGAGGTCCTCCTGGAGGAGGTGGCCCTGCATCCAAGGACAGTGTCCTTAGAAGAGACAGAAGAGGAAAGAAAGACAGAGAGGAGAAGCCACGTGGAGGCGGAAGCAGAGACGGGCGGGAACTCACACACCCAGGAATACACGTTAACTGCAGAAAAATGAGAACATATAGGTAATTAAAAAAAATTAAAATTCTCTACTGAGATACAGAAATTTATATGTCTTTTTATATTACATATTATACACATTATACATATTATATAAATGAATCTGTTTATATGTGGAGACAATCCATTATTATATGTAAATATACACTTACAAATATTTTAAACAAACAACAGGATCAAACTACGTAATTTTCATCTGCTTTCTTACGTAACAGGCTACCGTCAGCGTGTTGTACACAGGGAGCCCTAGCCGTAACGGCCGAGTCGCTCCCTGGATGTTTATGAACACGTGTACCCAACAGCTGTCACTGGAGCGTTTTTGTTACGCTCCTCCCAGTCCTGCATCCACGGGTCCCTGTCCTCTCTGAAGTTGGCCAAGTCATGCCAGGGATCGGACTCGGGCCATGCTGGGAATCCAGCTGATGGGACACCTGGGCTGCTATCTGGAAAAATGCAGACTGGATCGTGCCCCAGGAAAATGAACTGCAAACGAGTCAAGGATTTAATTTCTCTTAAGCCACACTGTTACGGAAGAAAACCTCTGGCGGATGTGAAAACGTGAGTGATTCTCAGAAAGCCTGCTGAGTGAGAGCAGGTACCCAGAGGACATGCTGCAAGTAGAAAGCCTGGGGGAGGCAGCACTGAACTGGGGTGAAAGGGAGCGGAGCAAGGCTGCTTCCCCAGGGGAGCGCGGGTCGGCCAGGGCCATGGGGCTACGTGGCGGGGCAACACACGAGGGGTCTGTGCCGTCTGCCACATTTACATGATTCCTGAGAAAACCTGGGACAGAAGGAGCCATGAAGGAAGCACAAGTGATGAGGGATGAGATGCCATCACTGACCCACAGGTGATATGTCCTGTGAGCAAAGACTCGGGGACTGGTGGAAGCCATCACTGCCCTCCAGGAAGAACTGGGCAAAGGGGTGTCCAGGTGCGAAACCTGCGTCCTTCCACAGGGAGCTGCTCCGGGTCTGCACGTGCGCCATGGGGCTCTCCACCTCGCTTTTTGGTGAAACAAGACGGGAAAGGCCTACGTGATCCTCAGTGGGTGTTGGTTAAATTAATCGCACAGTCTGCATAGTGGGACTCCATGCACATTTAATATTGGAGGCACACAAGGAACTGATGAGGAGTGATTCGCATGGTGGGCCCACCTCTTTCTCTTTTCATGTCCTTCTGGTGCATCAGCTATGCTCTTAAAGTTTGGCTCTGAGTGTGCAGAGTATAAAATGAAAACAGATTTTCAAACAAGTATTCGGACATAGCAACACTAGTCACACAGCCCAAAGGTGGAAACCTTCCAAGTGTCCATCCAGTGACGGATGGATGAGCAGAATGAGGTCCTTGAACACATGGGGAATATTAGTCAGCCAGGAAAAGGAGCAAAGCTCTGACACAGGCTGCAGCGTGGGTGGACCCTGAACACAGGATGCTCTGTGAGAGAAGCAGACACAGAAGGACACACAGTATGTGATTCCAGTTACAGGAAACGCCCAGAACAGGCAAATCCACAGTCACAGGAAGTGGTTAGTGGTGCCAGGGGCTGGGGGAGGGGGAGGGGAGTGATGATTTAATGTGCACAGGGATGAGAATGTTCTGAAACTAGACAGAGGGGGCAGTGCCTCAGTGTTGTGAATATGCTAAAAGCCCCTGAACTCTGCACTGTAAATGGGTGAACTGCGTTGTATGCAAATTGCATCTTAAAAAACTGTCAAAAATAGCACGAAGTCGTACGTAAGTCATTCCTCCACCAAATCTATAAATTCATTTGAGAGCATGAAGGACACTTACTCCTTTCTTCTCTCCCACGTTTCCAGGGAGTATCATTCCAGGACCAGCGCCCTCACACTGAGCAAGTAGGAGCCAGGCGGTCGGAGCCCCACAGGTGGGGACTGCGGGCAGCGGGGGGACGGACCCCCACAGGTGGGGACTGTGGGCAGTGTGGGAGAGCATCGAGGGCCACGCAGGGCCTGCAGAACCTGCTGCAGGACATGAGACCAGTGGGGCAGGTCTGTCCAGGCACCACATGTTGCCTCTTGTGATGGGGGGTCCGGGGGAC